TATATATATATATATATATATATGAAAATTTGGAAAAGTTTGGGGGAGCCGTGGCTCCCCCCTGTCATAGAGAAGGTCAGCCACTGCATATAGATAATTTCATCAAGTATATTTTTGGAAACCATACACTATCCATAAGGGATATAGAAAATATTAAAAGTTTTATCATAATCTCATAAAGCTTAATTATAAAATTTATTCTCACATTAATACAACTCTAACACTTTTTCACATCAAGGTAGTGACTAAAATATTAAAATTGATTGAAATCAATTTAGTTTTAGTAGAACTAACTAGTTGGTTGTTCCTACCCATATGAACCTTATTCATGTGATTGCAAATCTCAAAGGTTAAGTTATCAAACTTGTTTGTTACCAATGGCTTAATAAAATCTAATTTCCTCGCTATTTAATATAAAAATATTTTCCTTAAGAGTTTAAGCCATAGAATCAACCGAAATCTAGAATTGACTTTACATAATCAATATATTTCAATCTTTTTCAATGAAACAATTGCTTTACTGTAATATTTTTAAATTTTATATTCATAAAGAAATATTTACTAAGAGGTTTTTAACTGCTCAATCTCATAATTAATCATCTCAAGAACAATAAATTATGATTAAAGAATTATTTATGTGGTTAATCTTAAAATTTTTGCACTACACCCAAGTATAGTGACATAACCACTAGTGAATTTTGTCTCATTTTGATTAAAGATCCAATTAGTTATCATTGTATCTCTAATACACTAGAAAATTCCACCATATTGAATATCATTAATTTATGGTATTTCTATATAATCTCATGTTATGTAACATAATGAATAAAAAAATTGCTACTAGACCACACAATCCCCACCTTTTCACAATAGTTGCTTTTAAAAGTCAAATTTATAAAAGTCACATCTCAAAATGATAGAAGTATTGTCTCATAATAAGAACTAAAAATTATTCCCTTAAGAAGTATACAAAACAATATAACTTATATATACTTTTATCAAGTTCTCCATTTGTCTAAGATGTTATAAGTCTCACTTTTCTCTTCCACATGCGTGTTCTTTCTAAGAATCATTGACACTAATAAATTTACACCAAAATTCTTAAATCTTGCTAGTTCTATGTCATAAAAGTGACTTAATTTTTAAACTCATATTTCTCTAAACTTACATATCATATATTTCTTAAACTAGTTCACCAAAAGTTTTTAGTTTCACGTTGGCACGTTCAATCTAATAATATCATGTACTAACACCAAGCTATTCAATTTATTAAGAAGCCTACAATTTCCATACTTTTTTTAATAAAAAAACTTCATTACCATAAAGTCAACAACATTACTTCTAAAATCTCCATAAAGAAACTTCCATAGTTAAAATTCTAAAAGATTAACAGCCTATTTAAAATTAACAAAGTACATAAAGAATACACTCATAATGTTCGATAGTTTCTCTATCAGCTATATAGAAATCACAATAGTAAATTTATTCTTAATCCCATACCTAGCACCACCGTATTCACACATTAAAAAATAAAAATCACACTATCTCTGGAAATTAACTCTGATCATTTCTAGTCAAATTACTCAAACACCAACCAATATTATCTGTTAAAGATTTCTACCAAGTAAATATTCACATCAATTATTTTAATTCATAACACACCTATAAGCTTAACTTGCAGGCTTGCAGCAAGACCATTTGCACAAGAACAAATGGAGCGAATAAACCTATTCCTAGTAAAAGATGATGGGTGTGGTTTTACTTGATTAATAAATTTATTAGTTTGTTCGTTTCATGGACAACAATTATAAATTCTTAATGAGTAAAATTAATAAATAGGGGAATTATTACGTGAAGTGAAAGCCCAAGAAGCTAATGTACCAAAAAAAAGGCCCAAGAAGATAAAAAGAAATAAAATCAAATCATTAAATAGTGACAAATAATGGTGTAGATAAAATAACAGGTTAATTGCTAAAGAAGTGGTGTCTTCACTATACCAAATTTTTTTTTCTCCATTAGTTTATTATTTAGCAGTCATATAAATGACCATTATTTTTTTTACCAGCATTTAAATAGAAGATGGTATATCAAGTGTCGCTAATACTATTACCGGCATTTATATAAAATGCTGGTAAATATCTACTAAATTGTCGGAAAAACTTATTTCTTTTAGTGGCAATTCTAGCAGCCATTTTAAATGCTATTAAAAGTTATTTTTTTCAATTGTCTCCTTTACTTTCCTATAATTTTCTTTTCTAAATTCATAACTTATGTACTTTTTTTTTTATCTCTATTCGATGTGGAATTTGTAAGATGAGGGTTGTCTTTTATTTATATATATTTTAATTTATTTATTTAATTATCTTGTCTCTTAAGAAATGTGAGATTTATAAGGTGAAAGTTGCTCTCTAATTGTTTTATAACACTATTGAATTTGGTAATAATGGAATAGTGAATTAGGAGTCAACCCTATAAAATGAACCTATAAGGTGATAGTTATTATTCACTTATATACTATTTAATTATCTTATCTCTAATCAATGTGAGACTTAAGTTTTTTCTAATAAATAATTGTTGCTAATAGTAAACTTTAGTGTAATATAAATACATTTTTAGTAGCTATTATATATTAGCCATTAATATTTTTATATATGGCGGCAATTTAATTATTGCCATTAAATAATTTTCATTAATAACAAAATTTGTTATAGTGATTCCTGATGCTTGAGCCTTGAGGAGTTGAGGTAATTGTTTGTCATGAATATTTGGACTTGGTCTTTTTAACCATCGAAAAAGGTGGATTTGATGTTATTTGAGGCTTTCGTTGGTTATTTAGAAATGTGTTGTTATAGATCACTCTAAAAGAAACAAAAAGAAAATGGTTTGTATTATACATACACAATCTTACAACTATTGGTTACCCGTCAAAAGTCTGATGTGTCAATGTCATCCAAATGTTAAAGGATATAACACTCTTCAACGATTATTTCAATGCTGATGTTGAAGATCCTTATCTCGTTAAATTTACAACATAAATATGATCTCCTTAATTAATCATGAATCTAATGTTCCCTTTCTTGAAAATATAGTAATAAAGAGCAAGAGCAGATTAAGTAAATAGTAATGCATATTAGAGAACGAATTTAAAGGACAGGTTTAATTTCATGTCAGTAACAAGCAGAAGCTTTTGTTTAAGATTTAATTTCTATATTTTATGTCAGTATCAAGATTTAATTTCTATATTTTATGTCAGTATCAAGCAAAAGCTTCTGCTTGTTACTTACATGAAATTAAACTGTCATTTAAATTCATTCTCTGATATACATGATTATTATTGACTTAATCTTCTCTTGATTACTCCCACAATTTTATTGCGTGCCTCTTAAGGTTGATCTTTTTATAATTGCACAATTTCATCTATGGGAAATGGATCACTGTCCATTTACCATCTCATACATCCTTATGGTAAAAGTATGTTAACCCAAAGTGGAGGTGGAATAAAATGCAACAACTCAAAGTATCCATAATTTTCATACACCAGACAGTCCACATAGAAAAATCAATTGCATTATCTCATGGTCATATATTATGCAGATAAATAAAATCTGGAGAGAAGAAGGGAAAATACGAATGGAAATATTATCGAGTTCTATTGAAACTATAATTGATTCATTCACTGGGCATGAATTTATCTTTAGGGATATCATAAAATTGTATATGACAAGAAGCTTATCAACATCAATATGAGGAACACATTAAGCCAACCAAGTATAAGACAAATTCACTCACAACTTGATTAGTTTCAATTTCAACCACTTTCACTCCATATCTCAGACAATCAAGATCAACATCTCCATAATCTTAAAATAAAATATAAAATATCATGATATAAAAATTATAAATTAATATAAATGACATTATAGGATGTGGTGGTTAAGAGTAGAAATCCTCTGCACGTTTATCTTGCGTTTATGATTTTCAATGTGAGAATGCTAAAGGCTACATCTGTAGAATCATTGTCTAGTGTTGTATCTATATCTACAATGGGATTTTGCGAATTGGGGATATGAGTTAGAGAGATTAGAAAAGCAATACCCTTAACAAAATTTCTACAGTCAACTCGTCAGGAAGGATTCCAGGATGAGGGAGAGTGACATTTCTTTCCATCTTCTTTGCCAATGGAAGGTGTATCGGGAGGACCCTGCCGGTCACGTGGACCAACACGTGCCGTTCCGTCAAACATCCATGCGAACTAGACCATACCTAAAACCTTGATGTTAGCATTGACTCGGCCTACAGCCGAAGGCCGAGAATAGTCTACTAGCACATATCGGCTCGGTTTTAAGCCGATGCAAACAACATGATGCATCTTCATACACTACGTATCGGCTCGGCCAAACGCCGAGAGAGTAAGGTAACAGAGTAAGTGCTTGTCGGTCCGGTCAACAGCCGAAGACGTGCACCTTTCTAAGCCTCAGCCTGTCGGCTCGGCAGTGCGCCGAAAGGTTAAACGGATTATAGTACAAATCACAGTTAACAAGGACAAGTGCATGATTAAGACATAATTAGCTGATTAACATCGTATTACCTAATTTGGTAAGTGTCAGAAAAGGCCCACCATGTTCAGGCCCATGTCAGGTATTATAAATAGGTCACACGTAACGAGGTACGTCACTGTTCATTCATTACCCTAGAAAATCGTGTCTATCCTGACTTGAGCGTCGGAGTGCCTTTTGCAGGTACCTCCCCCCCTCTGAAGAATCTACCTGAAGCTCCCGATCGACCCTTCACCACCTAGAAGACTACGAGTGTACTCTCAGACAGGTACATTTTTGGCGCCCACCGTGGGGCCGAACCGATAGCTGTGAAAAGACTTTTTGAAGACATTATGGCAAAGACAAGAAGAACTAACCTTGAAGACCATCAGTCCGAAGATGAGCACCCGTCCGGGGCAGACAATGCCGAGACGGTAGAAGAGACAAACTTGACCGACATGGTGCGCCAAATGAAGGAAGACATGGCCGCCATGAAACAGCAACGGGAGAGAGATGCTGCTGAGATGGCTGCGTTGCGAGAGGAGAATGCTGCCCTCAAAAATCAGTACCGGGATCCCACATGGAAACCCTCTGAGACGACCCACACTCAGGGGTCGTTCCATTCGCACGACCATCACACCTCTATCCCTCACACTTCTGTTGCTGCCCCAGCTGTCCATGCTTCGGTCAGCCGGTCGGTACAACCGATGCCGGCCGGAGCACACCGACACCCCTTTACCCCAAACATCATGCAGTCTGCACTTCTTGACCATTGGAAGTCCTTACCCCTAGACAAGTATGATGGTACCACCGACCTAGATGAGCACGTCGATGTGTTCTTAACTCAAGTTACTCTAAGCACTACTGATGACGCCGCCTTGTGCCGAATCTTCCCAACATCATTAAAAGGGCGAGCACTGAGTTGGTTTACCCGGCTTCCTGCTAATTCGGTTGACTCGTTCAACATGTTAGCCTCCCAGTTCACCATTCAGTTCGCTACAAGCCGGCCCCACCAGTTGACCTCTTTGGCACTAGTTAGCATCCGTCAGGAGAAAAAGGAGTCCCTTCGGGCGTTCATGAGCCGATTCAACAAAGCGGCCCTTGAAATCCGAGACCTGAACCTTGCTGTAGCTCTGCACCACCTCACCACCGCCTTGAAACCGGGGCCTTTCGCCAACAACATTTGTAAGAAACCCCCTACTGACATGGATGACTTGCGTCGGCAAGCCGACAAATACATGCAGATGGAAGAATTGGCTGAGTTCCGGAACCAAGCCCGAGCGGAGGTGTTGGCAAAACCTGACAAACCGGCTGAGACTAATTTCCGAAGTCGTCCGAAAGAGCTGATTCCTCGCGAGAAGCCTCCTCGCGGTCCGAGATACTCACAATATACGCCACTCAATACAAGCAGATCGGCCGTCCTAGAGCAAGCACTTGCCTCAGAGGTGCTAGCAGTCCCAAAGCGAGCTTCGACCCCTCCCAGGGCTGATACAACAAAGTCTTGCAGATACCACCGTAATCGGGGGCATTCCATAGAGGAATGCGCGGCTTTGAAAGACAAAATTGAAGACTTAATCAAGCAGGGGCAACTGCAAGGCTTCATAGACCGACCGACCTCATCCCGACACGCCGACTGGTCTCGGCGACATGATCATCCTGAGTAGAGGAGAACGGGAACGCACTCATACAGGAAACGTAATCGGTCGAGAGATAGGCGAGAGGAAGAGCCTTCGGCGCAACCTCGGCGGGTCATCAACACCATAGCCAGTGGATTCGTTGGCGGGGGATCATCCTCATCGGCCCAACGAAGACACCTGCGAGCCGTTCGGCACGTGCATGTAGTAGAAACAACTCGTCGTCGCCTTCCTCCCATCACTTTCACCGAGGCCGAATTCAAAGGCATCGACCCGGACCAAGAAGATCCGATGGTAATCAGTGTTGAAATTCACAACTGTATTGTACGTAAAACATTGGTTGATCAGGGAAGTTCAGCCGACATTCTGTATTGGAACACGTTCAAGCAATTGGGTATTCCAGAATCCGAGTTAGTTCCTTATGATGAACATCTGGTTGGGTTTTCAGGCGAACGAGTTAAGACAAAGGGATATATCAAGTTGTCAACCCGGTTTGGGTTTGAAGGAGCCAAATATCGTGACATCTCGGTCAAATATGTGGTAGTTCATGCCAGCGCATCTTATAATATTCTGCTCGGCCGGCCGTCCCTGAATCAGCTTGGGGCGGTTGTATCCACCCCTCATTTAGCCATGAAGTTCCCGGCCGAGTCAGGACGAGTCATCACGGTCCATGCTGATCAGAAGACTGCGTGAGAGTGCTACTTTGCCAGCTTGCGATTACCAAGAGTGAAGGACGAAGTGCCTAAGGAGCCGAGAGGCGTTCACTCGGTGTCACAACAATCGGCCATGGACCTCGACCCCCGAATAGATCAAGAAGAGAGTGTAGAACCTATTGAAGATAAGCAATCAATTCAAGTTGGAGCTTCAGACTCCCAGCTTACTTACCTAGGGACCGTCCTCTCTTAACAAGAAAAGCGTGCTATCGGACAAGTAATTCTTGACAACAAAGACTTGTTTGCATGGCATCCCTCCGACATGCCTGGCATTGACCCAGATTTCCTTTGCCACAAGCTTTCAATCAGCAAAGAGGCAAAGCTGATTGCACAGCGACGTCGGAAGGCCGGAGAAGAGAGGAAAGCCGCGATCGAGGTTGAAGTATCAAAACTTTTAAATGCTCGGTTCATCCGAGAAGTACACTATACGACATGGCTGGCCAATGTTGTCATGGTTCGGAAACCGAATGGAAAGTGGCGTATGTGTACTGATTACACAAACTTGAACAAAGCCTGCCCGAAAGACGCCTACCCATTGCCGAATATTGACCGACTCGTTGATGGAGCATCGGGTCACAAATTCTTGTCTTTCTTGGATGCATACTCGGGGTACAACCAGATCTGTATGCATCCCCAAGATGAAGAAAAGACGACATTCATTACTGAAACGGCCAACTACTGCTATCGGGTCATGCCGTTCGAGTTGAAAAACGCCGGAGCCACGTATCAGCGTTTGATGAATAAAATTTTTCATGAACAGATTGGTCGAAGTATGGAAGTGTATGTTGACGACATGGTCGTAAAATCAAACGACATATCCATGCACGTGCGTGACCTGGCCAATGTCTTCCAAGCGCTTCGGCAACATCAGATGAGACTTAATCCTGAAAAATGCGTGTTCGGGGTCTCAGGTGGAAAATTTCGGGGGTTCATGTTGTCCAACCGAGGCATTGAAGCAAACCCCGACAAATGCCAAACCATTCTGGGTATGAAAAGTCCGAGTACTCTGAAAGAGGTTCAGAAGTTGGCAGGCCGACTCACCTCGCTCTCTCGGTTCCTTCCTTGCCTAGCCGAGATAGCTAAACCTATCCTTCTCTTACTGAAGAAGACAGACCGGTTCAAATGGACCCCGGAGTGTGAAGCATCATTCTAACAATTCAAGGAGCGTCTTAGTACATCTCCAATCCTTTCCAAACCAGTTGTCAACCTCGACATGATTGTGTATTTAGCTGTCTCCGACACTTCAATCAGTGCCGTCCTGATTCAAGAGAAGCAAGACGAACAACAACCGGTGTATTTCATCAGTCGGACACTACAGGATGCCGAACGACGCTACGAGTTGATAGAAAAAGTAGCCTTAGGGCTTATCTACACCGCCCGCCGGCTCAGGCAGTACTTCCAAAGTCACAAGATAGTTGTCCGAACTGATTGTCCAATTGCAAAAATCCTAAGAAAACTAGAGATTGCCGGCCGGATGATGGCATGGTCGGTCGAGCTTTCAAAGTTCGACGTATCTTTCGAGCCGAGAGGCCCCATCAAGTCACAACATTTAGCCGACTTTGTCAACAAGCTCACTCCTCCGGGTCGTTTTGAAGACGAACCGTGGACCATGCATGTCGATGGATCCTCTAATTCCCAAGGAAGTGGGGCGGTATAGTTCTGGCTAGTCCCTCGGGCATCACCATAGAACAATCCCTCCGCTTCGGCTTCCGAGCATCTAACAACCACGCGGAATACGAAGCCTTGCTGGCCGGGATGCGGTTAGCAATCGAGATGGGCGTGAAAAAAGTCATATGCTGGACCGACTCGAAAATCGTGGCCGAAAAGGTCAACGATAACTTTCAGGTCAAAGACTCCAATCTGTTGCAATACTACCACCTCTTCCAAAAACTCAAGGACAACTTCACTGAGGTTCAAATACGACACGTCCCACGAAGCAATAATTAACGAGCCGATCAGTTAGCTCGGCTCGCCAGCAGCCGGAAACCAGGACAATTGCGCACAACCATTCACCTGGAGATTCCTTCCCAAAGTGTGACAGCTGAATGTATGACAACCAGCGCCGAAACGCCTACCTGGATGACCGCCATTCGGAACTACATTATCCAAGGGGAATTTCCAACCGACCCGATGGAAGCTAAAAAGACATGAACGCAAGCGGCTCGGTACTCCATAGTAGCCAACGAGCTTTACAGGCGAGGATTCTCCACCTCGTTGCTCAAATGCATCGACGACCTACAAGCCGACTATGTGATGCGGGAAATCCACGAAGGTATTTGTGGTTCTCATTCCGGGGGGCGAACTTTAGCAGCTAAAGTCTTGCGAGCCGGTTATTATTGGCCGACTCTGAAGGGGGACTGCGCCGAGTTTGTCAAAAAATGCGTTCAATGTCAAAAGCATGGGAATCTCATCCATGCCTCGGCCGCTGAATTGCATAGCATCAGCTCCCCATGGCCGTTTGCTTTATAGGGTATTGATGTGCTCGTACCATTCCCGGTAGCAAAGGGACAAGTTAAATTCCTTCTCGTCGCGGTGGATTACTTTACAAAATGGATAGAAGCTGACCCGCTCGCCTGCATCTCTGCTGCCAACGTACAGAAGTTCGTCTGGAAAAATCTGGTTACCCGCTTCGGCATCCCGTACGCCATTGTTTCAGACAATGGCCTTCAATTCACCGACAAGAAATTCAAGATTTTCCTCGAAAACCTTGGCATTCGACATCAGTTTACATCAGTCGAGCACCCTCAGTCAAACGGGCAGGCCGAAATAGCGAATAAGGTTATACTCACCGAGCTCAAGAAGAGACTCGGCTTGGCCAAGGGAGCATGGGCCGAAGAGCTACCGGAAGTCCTTTGGGCATACCGATGCACGCCACAATCAACTACCAAAGAGACGCCTTTTCGCCTAACGTACGGCGCAGACGCGATGATCCCGGTTGAAGTGGGAGAACCGTCCTTCAGGCGACAAAATTTCCATGAGGAGTCTAATGACAGCTCCCTCCGAGCCGAAATCGATGTTCTCGACGAAGTACGAGAGAAAACACAGGTAGTGGCCGAAGCATGCAAACAACGCATGACCCGACGCTTTAATTCCAACTTAAAGCCAAGGATATTTCACGAAGGTGATCTCGTGTGGAGAGCAACCGGTTCGGCAAGGCGCAACTCTTCCGAGGGAAAGCTCGCAGCCAATTGGGATGGACCGTTCTGGATACGGCATACCCTCGACAATGGGGATTACAAGTTAGAAGAATTGTCCGGCAAGGTCATCCCTCGGACATGGAATTCTACTCATTTGAAGACCTATTACAGTTAGAATTTAACTCATGTACATCTGAAAATGTATAATGATGCACTCTTTTCCTTGAACCAGTCTTTTTTCCTCTTAAAAAATTGTGAAAAGAGGTTTTGGCCGGCAAAGTTTTTAACGAGGCATCCACTCAATCAATAACAAGACAGTTCAACTATCTATCACTTGTGTTACATTGTCGCGATTTTATTTCATATTACAAGTCTTCCCTCCCGAGATGTCTCTCGGCCAAGGATGTGGCTTACGTTAAAAATTTTACAAGTCTTCCCTCCCGAGATCTCTCTCGGCCAAGGACGTGGCTTCAATTATTTTACAAGTCTTCCCTCCCGAGATCTCTCTCGGCCAAGGACTTGGCTTCAATTATTTTACAAGTCTTCCCACCCGAGATCTCTCTCGGCCAAGGACGTGGCTTTAATTATTTTACAAGTCTTCCCTCCCGAGATCTCTCTCGGCCAAGGACGTGGCTTTAATTATTTTACAAGTCTTCCCTCCCGAGATCTCTCTCGGCCAAGGACGTGGCTTTAATTATTTTACAAGTCTTCCCTCCCGAGATCTCTCTCGGCCAAGGACGTGGCTTTAATTATTTTACAAGTCTTCCCTCCCGAGATCTCTCTCGGCCAAGGACGTGGCTTTAATTATTTTACAAGTCTTCCCTCCCGAGATCTCTCTCGGCCAAGGACGTGGCTTTAATTATTTTACAAGTCTTCCCTCCCGAGATCTCTCTCGGCCAAGGACGTGACTTTAATTATTTTACAAGTCTTCCCTCCCGAGATCTCTCTCGGCCAAGGACGTGGCTTCAATTATTTTACAAGTCTTCCCTCCCGAGATCTCTCTCGGCCAAGGACTTGGCTTCAATTATTTTACAAGTCTTCCCACCCGAGATCTCTCTCGGCCAAGGACGTGACTTTAATTATTTTATAAGTCTTCCCTCCCGAGATCTCTCTCGGCCAAGGACGTGGCTTCAATTATTTTACAAGTTTTCCCTCCTGAGATCTCTCTCGGCCAAGGACG